CTTACAACTTAAGTGATATTGGACAAATAACAATTTCTCTGGGCCTCAGTTTACCACCCATAAAATTAAAGAATTCATCCCTTCACATCTTTCTATTCTTCTCATACCTCACACCCTCTGACCGTGCAGTCCAGTGACACCGGTCTCTGTGATGTTACTTGCAAACAACACTCCATCTCCTAGCTCTGTCTGAGTGGTTCGCCAGCTTTCCCCCATACCTGGAACTCTTTCCTTCCTCATCTCAGCCTCCAACCTTCTCTGGATTCCTTCAAGGCTCAGCTTCTACAAGAAGCCTCTCCTAGTCCCCCTTAATACTAGGGCCCTCCTGGTGTTGCTTGTTTCCAATTTATCCTGTGCATGTCTTGTTTGCATATTACTGTTTGCTTGTTATCTTCCCCATGAGTCTGTGAGTTCTGAGAACAAGGACTGTCTTTTGCATTTCATTGTATCTCCATCACTTAGCACAATACCTGACATACAATAGGCATTTAATAAATTTTAAAAATTAATAAATCTAATAAACTCACTAGATTACCTCTGAGAACCCTTCTAACTGTAAATCTATGGTCCTAAGTGTGTAAAGCACCTTGAAAACTTTAAAGTGCTTTTGCATGTAATCTTATGTCATAGATCATATCATAATCTTTGTCCCCAGAAAGCACTTCCATCATTTTTCAAGTGGGCTCTTGGCTTCACTTCCAAGTATTCCTGAGAACAACATTGTTCCAGCAGAAAAACAGATCTGTATGACTGAGCCTTCTTCCCTAAATTATCAATCTCAGGTATGCTGTCTTTTCTTACCTTAATTTTTAATCTCTCTCTGTAGAGTAGAAGGGAGTATGGGGGATTGGTGTGGCCACCAAAACTATTCCAGCATTTATCAGTTCCTTAGTTCTATGACAATTTCCTGTACCCGTTTCAGAGAAATGAAAGAAAGAATTCAGTAGCACATAACCTTCCAGATAAAATTGTTCTTTCCCTTTGTCAAGAAGAGATACAATTTTAGTCAGAATTTTAGGCAGTCAGAGAGAGGCCCCATCCACCTTCAAGGAGCAAAATGTGGTCTTTCTGGTAGATAGGTACACCTATTGCTGAGGGGTTTTTTTTCCATCCAAATGGCAACATGTCATCTCCTGACTATATTTCCAACTTCTGGAGGTCCATTGTTATTATTTTCTACTCCCAAAAGCATTTTTAAATATTTCTCAGTTTAGCTATCTCCAGTATTTCTCACGGTACTCTTTCCTCTTTACCCCTTCCAGACTTTGAAGAAAAAAACAGGAAACGAAAGGGGGTAACCAATCTAGCACCAGTTAAACCCAAGCACATGTTTCCCCTCAACACTTAACACTGCTACTTATCAGTAGTACCTTTTTGTTAATGTCTTTTTTCTTTCCAGTTTCTGTAACTTCTCAGTCATGCCAATTTGAATAAACTCTGCAAGTAAAATGTCATGAGCAGCTACAGCAAAAAGAGAAAAAATGGAGCTTCACATTCAGCCAAACTTTCTTCCAGGTTCTTAACAGACATTAGGTCATTCACCCAATCACTCTTGACTATCAGTAGGTAATAATGGCTAACATTTCTATTGTATGTTAGGGTTTGCAAATGTGTTCTACAAATATTATCTCATTTTATTTTCAAAACAACCCTAGAAGGTAGGTACTATTATTATCCCCATTTTATAGATGAGGAAGCTGAGGCTTAGGCTAAATGATTTGTTTAGGGTCACACACTAGTGTATGAGATCAGATTTGAACTCAGGTCTTCACTGTGCTCCCAAGTTGCCCCCAAAAAGTAGTGAGGTCTTCGTTGTACAGATAAGGAAACTGAGGCACAGATGAGGGTTGCTCATGACCTGATAAGAAAGTATAAAAGAAGCAAGAGTTAAGTTGAATCCTTGTTTAATCCTGCTGAAATACTAGTGACACATCAATACCATATTATAATCACTTGCAACATGAAGCCTCACATCACATTTTTTTCTTCAGTTCCTCTGTTCATAAGAAAAATATCACTCACACATAAACCAAATCTCACTGGCAATCTCCTCTGAGAGATGGAAAGAGAAAGGATAATAGCCCTTTTCAGGTTCAGGTTGAATGGCAGTCAAACAGATCTGAGCTACTCAGATGACGTCCAAATGCCAGCACAAATGGAGGTGTGAATTGAAAAAGAGAAATAAGATACTTCTTTTCTGGACCAAGAGAAAGTCCATATTTTTAAATGCAGATTTTTCTTTTAATTAGAGAACATGGATTTTGTTTAGAGCCTCTTGGAAAAGGGAGTCATGTATGTTCATCACTTCAAAGAGGGAGCTGTCTAAATTATACCAATGACCTTTCTGGAGCACACACCACAGGAAAGAGTTTAGAAAATTCCATTTTATGGTTTTCAGAACAGGTTAGGATAACAGGGAAAGATACATGAAATCTATGAAATAATGTACTGTGGACATGTGTATTTACACACAATAAACAATGCTGATTTGATTGGCCATGCCTTCTGATCTTGTGTAATTCTTGTCCATGTTGTTTTTAAGTCATTTTTTAGTCATTTCCACCTCTTCTCATTTGGGGTTTCTTGGCAGGGATACTAGAGTGGTTTGCCATTCCCTTCTCCACATCATTTTATAGATGACAAAACTGAGGCAAACAAGGTTAAATGACTGGCCCAGGATCATACAGCTAGTAAGTGTCTGAGGCTGGATGTGAGCTCATGAAGATGAGTCTTCCTGACTCCAGGCCCAGCATTTTATGCACTGTTCCACCTAGCTGCCCCAATTCTTGTCTGTGTTCCCCATAAATACTCCACAGATCTACCCAACATGGTGGGACCTTTTTCTGGGCCTTTATAGACTTTGTGAATCCAGTACAGCACTTGGGCTGTCCATGTGATATGTCTAACTCTCACTATATGGCCAGCCTGCAGCATTTTCTTTACATTCCCTTGGTAACACGTTTCACTCTGCTTCTACATGACTATGAGCTTGTGTGATTGAGGAAGAAAAATGTGGTTCGGATTTGTTCCTATGATAAGACACACTCCTAGAGAGAGAAGTGAAGGTAGCTTTAATAAAGATTATAATATAGGTATAGAAAAGGTAGATTTACAGCAACATACAATTAGCAATACGACTATAATCAGGCTAAGGATACAAAAGGTAGCAATAATAAAAGCAAATATCACCAATTCGGGGAAGCACCAACATCTGAAGTCCAAGCTGGGGATTCCTGGGGTGCAGCTTTCAGGGTCCCCATTGGGAAAGTCCCGGGCAGAGCGTCCTCTCCATGGGTGAGAATCCAAAGATGGCTTTCCCAATTAGGTTTTAAATAGGGCCTCTAACAAAGAAGGCCCCATGCTAGAGGTGTCCATGATTCTAGTAGATGTTTTTACTTGGTCCAGGAACTGGCCAAGTTCCTGGAGCAGGCAAAACATCTTAGAATATTAATTAACTTGATATGTTCTGATGAACTGGCCAGGTTCCCAGAGCACATCTTCCTGAGAACTGGCTAAATTCTCAGGTCAACATAGATAGCCACACTCTGGCTTATAGCCCAATGTTTAGAGTCATACAGGGGACATGGAAGATCTTTCCTTATAAGATTTATTGATTAGAGCTGCAGAACACAATGATCTTGGAACATCTGAAATTACACATGATCCAAAGGGATCAGAGCTTCATAGATGTCGAAGTGAATGAGACCTTGGAGATGAACCAGGACAGCCCCTCATTTCACAAATAAGGAGCCTGAGTCCAAGTGAGGCAAGACTTGTTCAGAGTCACACAGGTGACAAGTGGCACCAACCCTAGTCTGCTAACTCAGCTCTGGGTGCCAAAGTCCCAGGGTATTGATTAATTGGAGAGCATTCAGAGAAGGGCAATCAGGATAGTTAAGGGGCCCTGAGTCCATGCCATATAAGGATCAATTGAAGGAACGAGAGATGTTTAACCTGAAGAAGAGAAGTCGGAGGTGGGAGGAGCAGAAGGAAGAGGGGGACATTATGCTGTCTTCAAGTATTTGAAGGGCTGTCATATGGAAGGGAGTTTTGATTTATGGTATTTGACCCCAGAAGACCGGATCAGGAGCAATGAGTGTCAGTGGCTAAGAGGTTGATTTAGGCTTGATGTCAAGACAAATTTTCCTAACAATTAAAGCTGTCCATAAGTGGAATGGTCTCAAGACATACTGGTAAATATTTAACAACTGGCTCTCCAAGGGGGAAAATAGAAACTGAAACCTTCCCTATGTATTGTCTCCCCTATTAGAAGGGGATCTCCTTGAGAACAAGGACTGTCTTTCTCTCTGTTTGTATCCCCAGCACTGAGCATGGTGCTTTGTACACAGTAAGCACTTAATAAGTATTTTGTTCAATCATTGATTCATTTTCTTGACATTCATCTTGTCATTATATCCTTTCTCCCTTTTGTTATGGGGATGTTCATTAAATCAGGGCACGTGGAAAGGGCATATCAATCATCCATCATCTGTCTCCATTCTCTATCCCTGGGACTTCCCAAACCTAAACACCCCTCCTTGACCACCATCCCCCATGTTGAAATATATGCTCCTTGAAGTTTAGGGTCATCTCACTTTTGTGTTTGTATCTTCAGCACTCAGCACAAAAGCTGACACATAGTAAAGCTCAATAAATGTTTTTCATTCATGTATCCACTCAACAAAATGTTTGTTGGTGATGATGGCCCCTATTTGATGATTTCCCAATAACAACCCCTGTTTCTGAAGCAATGGCTCAGTGACAAACAAAGAGAATTCAATTTCTTGGCTTTTTGACCCTAGTGTCTACTGAGGCTAATAAAGGAGCTTCACAATGGACTAGGAGATCAACAATCATCAAATTTACCCATGGTCAAACCCAAAGCCATTTGTCCTAATGAAATTGACTTCTCAGTTTTCCCCAGTCAATCAAGTGACCTCTTTGCCACCCATAAACTTCCCCCAAAAAACTACACAGACCGATCATTAATTCAAGTGGGGGTGTTTATATACACACATATATGTACAAAATACAAGGGCTGTTTTGCAAGCACTTTTAAGAGATTACCTTGTCTCCACTGGTAAGTTAAAGCTACTCAAACTTCTATAACTAAGGATATTAAAATATTCATGGGATTGTGCTGAGTCATTTTCTTGCTGATAATCTTGACTGATGGTCATTGGTGTGGCTTCTAGTTGGACACACCTACCATGAGAGCTGGGGCTCAGTTCATTCTGTTCAGAGGGACTTTGGAGGCCGTAGTTTGCTGAACTGATCCTGAAGGTTTTTCTCTGCAAAAGAAATCCCAATACCAAACTGAGTATGTGGAAGATTTGGACCTAGATTTTTCATTATTCTTCAGTTTACAAAGTTATAGATCCTCAATTTTTCTGTTTTTTTTCCTTCTTAGTCACTTTTTAATTTCTCTTTCCTCCCTCTCTCCCTTCTCTCTTTCCTCTATTTCAGGGGAAATAGAAGAAATTTTCTGTTTCTTCCTCTTTTCTCTCTCTTCATCTTTCTCCTGTTTCTTCTTTCTTCTCTCTATCTCTTCTCTCTCAACTCTTTCCTTCCTTTCCCCCCTTATCCCTGTTTTTTATAATTTTCCCTATTTCTTTTAGTTTTCCTCTCTCTTTATCTCTGTCTTCCTCCTAACTCTTCTTCTGTCTCCTCCTCTCTCTCTATTTGCCTCTCTTTTTATTCCTCCATAACTCTTCTATCTCATCTCTCATTCTATTTCCTTTTTCTCTATTATCTCTACCTTCTCTCTTTTCTCTTTTCTCTATTTCTTCTTTTCCTTTCTCCTCCATCTCTCTCCCTTTCTCTTCTATCTCTGTTTATCTCTTCCCTCTTCTCTCTCTTTTTCACTCTCTGTCTTTTCTTTTTTTCTATTATACACATATTACACACACACACACACACACACACACACACACACACAATGTCCACGAGTGATTCATACTTGAAGGACTTAATGGGGGTTTATCACAAACAAGAATGTCAGGGGAGAATACATTTCAAAGGCCTCCTGAAGCACATCTTCCAACACTGTGGCCCAGCTGTGGCATAAGCAGTAAATGGAACAGCCTGGTATGGAGCCATATGGTGTAGTGGACATAGTTCTGGATCGGAGACACAATTTGGCTTCAACTCCTGACTCTGCCACTTACTTATTGTGTGGCCTTGGGTAATTTAATTCAATTCAACAAGCATTATTAAATACTTACTGCATACCAGGCAGAGTGCTAGGCACTGGGAATACAAAACCAGATATAAACCCTCCCCTCCCTCAAAGAAATTCTACCTCAGTGTGTTGTCACTTTCTCCCCTGAAGCTTGGGTTCCTCTCTGTCAAATGAAAGAGCTGGTCTAGATGACTTCTCAGACCCCTTCATGCTCTAAATTGATGAGCCCACGAGGCTTCCAGTTCTAAATCTTTTTTTTTTTTTTGGTGAGGCAATTGGAGTTAAGTGACTTGCCCAGGGTCGCACAGCTAGTAAGTATTATGTATCTGAGGCCAGATTTGAATTCAGGTCCTCCTGACTTCAGGGCTGGTGCTCTACCTAGCTACCCCTCAGTTCTAAATCTTGACTCTAAGTTTTCATGTGCCTATGGGGAAGGCAGTAGGGGAGGGACACTCTTTTGGTTCACAGGTTTGAGGCTGACCACAAATCTCAAAGGTAGAGTTAGAAACAGCAACAGGCTTTGAAACAATCTACTACAACTAACAATAAATTCAAGTACCCTTCAATGGGCACCATTATTATTTGTCCTTTATAGCCATCACCCATTACTGTCTGTTGCATTATCTTGTAATACAAAACAATAGTGTATAGATCCAATGGGTCAAACCTTGGCTTCCTCAGAAAGCTGCCCACAAAACTCCCAAGGGCAACCAGAACTAGATTAAAATGTAATTGAGAAATGTTTAACCAGAAAAAAATTTTAAAACAACATAACATAGATAATGTCCATTTGTAATTTTCTAGGTCAATATGCAGAGGCAACTGAGTGGCTCAGCAGATAGAGTGGATAGAGCTGGTCCTGGAGTCATGAAGTAAGTCCTGAGTTCAAATTTGACCTCAGACACTTACCGGCTATGTGACTCTGGGCAAGTCATTTAAGTTCTACTTGTGTTAATCTACTGGAAAGGAAAATGGCAAAGCCACTTCAGTGTCTTTGGCAAGAAAACCCTACGGACCACATTGGTATGATATAGTACACGGGGTCATAAAGAATCAGATGCGCCTTAGCAACTGAACAAGCAAGTCAACATGTGGACTTTTTTCTATTTGAGTTTGACACAACCAGTAGAGGTGACCATCTATATGATAAACAGTAACTGACTGTCTTTCATTCCACCATTATAAATGAATTTTTTGGAAGAGTGGCAGGTGGTTCAAGATTCCTGGATTGGTCAGTCCTGCTAAGGATTTCAAGAGCTATCCTTGACATAAACATGGTAAGAAATGCCCTTATAAATTGTACTGATGCTGTGATTAAATATAATAAGTTCTCTGACATTTCATTTATTAGTACCAATTCAATCAGGTATTCTTATTTTGGGGGGAAAAAATCAGGACTTTCCTGATGGCACTTGTTAATTGTGGCTACCTTTGTTCAAGCAGCTTGGCTAGCAATGTTGTGCAGTGGATTTGATGTGGATTTGAATACCGGCACTTTGTGAGCAACTCACTCAACCTTTCTGAGTCTCAGCTTTCTCATTCATAAAATGGGAATGATAATGGAATCATAGTATCTACCTCATAGGGTTGTTATAAGAAAACTGATTCATAAACCTTAAAATACTATATGGTTGTGACTCTAAGTTGTGACTGAGACTTCTGGGACACCTCATATGTTTGAAACAGATTGTCCTCCATTATTCAACTGACATCCATTTTAGAAATAGTAATTCAAAGGATGGGTTTAGCTGCATTGAAAACTAACAGAATTTCAGATTAAGAATCTTCAGGGTAAGAGATCAAGTCCAGCTGCTCAAAATGCAAATGGATATGTAGAAAACATGTGACATCGTAAGTAATTACAGTGACAGTGCTACTATGCAGAATAGAGTCCAGCCAAATAATAATAATAATAATAATAACCCTCCTAACCAAACGTGCTCATTAAATATTGGAAGGTACACACACAGTTTCTGCAAAGGTACTTTTATGAATAAGCATTTCTCTCTAGCTTCCATACAACTCCTGGTTATATGAGGAAAGCACAGAAAAGGAGACAAGCTTCACCAGGTTCAGAGGTGGCGTGTGTAAGGAGGAGCAGCCAGCCAGAATTGAACAAGGCTGGAAAAATGAGAGATGTACAATGTGGTTCTTTCTGGGAGAGGAAAGAGAGACGGCAAAGATGAACATGGCTCCTTAAACACTTTAAAGAAGAGATAGCAGCTTGCAGCTTCCTAACCTTTGATCTGATTAGTAATGCTTTCACAGAATCTCTGAACCTCAGAGTTGGAAAGGATCTCAAAAACCAAGTTGAGCCTGTATGTGAATAAGATTTCCTAGTCTACATGTCTCACATTCAATCACGTACTGAAAACCTCCAAGGATAGGGGATTTACTATTTTCCAAGACACCTCATTACACTTTTGGACAGCTCTGAATGTTAGGAAGCTCATCTTTATATTGTGTCAAAATCTGCCTCTCTTTGAGATCCATCTTTGATTAGTCACCTTAAAGCCCTACTAGTTCTGACCTCTGAAGTATGACAGGATTAGTCTCTTCTATATAACAGCCATTCAAAGTGCTTGAAGATAGCTATCATTTTCCTCTCCCCTCCTCACTTCTCAGAGAAATTTTCTCTTTTTATGTCCTCAAAAGGGATTGGTTTAAGGTAAGGCTGATGGGGTTGGGATCTAGGCCCCAGAAAGGAAGAACCCTGGACTTTCCCACGTGGCCAAACCCCTGGTTTTCCCCTGAGGCTATAATCCCATCAACTGGCCTTTCATTGTGGCTATACTCAATCTCCCCTCCATTGTCTTACCTCCCTATGGCCCCTGGCCATTTCCCCTCCCATCCAGATCTCCTTAGACCCCTCCTCTAGTCACCCCAAACTAGTTGGCCGCTCCTAGATCCCTCCCACAGGCTTTCTGTATATAAGGTCCATCTTGTCTCCATTAAGATGCTGGGATTCTTATAATCTAGCGACTGCTCAGATTCTTAAAATCTAGCCAACAGCTTACTAATGTTCATACTCCTTAAAAGTCTGCCCAATATAATAGATGTTCTAATAAACTTTGACTTTGGCTGAAAGAAGGCTTGGGTCAAATTCTTTTGGCCAGTCAATTGTGATTTTGGGGTCCCAGCACCCCTAAACCTCTAAACCGCATCATTTTGGTGGCCAATGCCAGAGATTTGGCCATGTGGGAAAATCTAGGGTTTTTCCTTTCTGGGGCCCAGATCTGAACCCCATCAAGGCCATCAAGGTCCCACAACTTCCATGGATCTTGTTGAATCTCACCTTTTGGCCCCTTGAGCCTAGGATTGTCCTTTCCATACATTTCAGACCAATCCCTGAAGTGTGCCAAGGGTCAGCATGACTTCCCTCATTGAAATGGAAACATCTCAAAGAAAAAGAGCTAGGGTTATCCCTCCCAGAATTATAGTCCATGAATTAGGTACATTTACCTTGACACCCAAGATCACCAACATGATGACTGTGGCAGCAATGATTATTATCACGGAGACCATGACTCCAAAAGAGATCCTTGAATAGGAGTTGTCCAATGCCTCAGCTGCTGAAAGGGGGCCAAAAGTCATGAACTGGCAGTCATAGAGAAATGTAGCATGTACCCACTGCACACCACCACCCTACAAGCTCATGGCAACAGTCTTGGAAATTAACACCAAAGGAACCTCCCTCTGTACCTACAGGAGCCAGAATCAAGTCAGTTGTGGGATTGTGGGAGGATGGATGGTGTTCTTACTGACAAGAATTAAACTCCAGTGATTCCCTATTACCTTTAGGATTAAATACAAGATTCTTTGTTTGGCATTTAAAGCTCTTCACAATCTTGCCCTTTACCTTTCCAGTCTTCTTACGCTTTACACATATTGTGTGATCCAGCCATACTGGCCCATTTGCTGTCTTTCACATGAAGCTACATCTCCAATCTCTGTGCCTTTGGACTGGATGTTTCCTGTTCCTGGGATATTCTGAGATAGTAAATGTTCAATATTTACTGGATTTATCCTTGGATTCCTTCAATACTCAAATCAAATATCACCTTCTTCAGGAAGCCTTTCACTGTCCTCCCCTTGCCCCTAGTGGCTTAGAGGGAAAATACTCTCAAAGATTACTTTCTACTCTGTGTGTCTCTTTTAGGTTCCTATTTATGTGCACATTGTCTCCCTCATTAAAATGTAAACTGCTTGAGGACAGGTACTGTTCTTTCCTTTGTGTCTCCAGTGCTTTACACAGTTCCTGGCACATAGTAAGTGCTTAATAAATGCTTTTTCTTTCATTCTTTATTCATTTTTAAAAATGATTTTTATGGTGAACTTAATACTCTTAAACACTATTCAAAGAACTAAAGAACATTTTATGTCAAACAAAATAAGAATTAGACAAGAGAAAAGAGCAACTTTTAATGATGCCCCTTCCAGGGTCACTTAACTTGAAAATCCCTTGGACATGCCAGATTGAACTATAGTGATCTTTATGGAAGAAAAGATTTTGGAGGAGATTGATGTTATAATTCCGTGTTGCCTCAATAGCTATGGACACTGCAGTATATAAGTTGAGTGTAAAGAAAAACCAGGTGTGCAAACCATGGTTCATGTAAAAGGTGAGTTTCTGAGTAAATGAGTGAACTGTATTATAAGAATTCTGGGGACAGCTAGATGGCGCAGTGGATAGAGCACTGGCCTTGAAGTCAGGGAGACCTGAGTTCAAATCTAGCCTCAGAAGCATAACACTCGCTAGCTATGTGACCCTGGGCAAGTCACTTAACCCCATTGCCTAGCTCCACCCCCCCAAAAAAAAACTAGTAAGGGACAGCTAGGTTGCGCAGTGGATAGAGCACAGGCCCAGAAGTCAGGAGGACCTGAGTTCAAATGTGACCTCAGACCAAACACTTGACACTTACTAGCTATGTGACCCTGGGCAAGTCACTTAACCCCAATTGCCTAACAAAAAAACCAAAACAAAAGAATTCTGCAATTGATAAGAGGGCAGCTAAGTCTCCTTGAAGGTAGAAAATATACTACCCAAGATGTTATCCAAAGGTCTGATAGTTTCTGACCATCAGACTGAAAATACCATGCTATGAGATGATAGATTTTCACCTGGAGGGCCATGAATAGTGCAGTTCCCCCAGACATGGAAGATAAACTGGGAACCCCACTAGACATGTCATTAGAGGAGAGAATGTAGAGCCAGGTGATCTCTTTCAAGATTAGATGGCCAGCCTTAATGGTGATGGGAGGGATGTCACAGAGGAGTGAGCAATCCATGCTGGTCAAGACATGTTCTACCACTAGAATTGCATCATACCTTGGGGATTGGGGCATGTCTACAATGAAGTCCAGTGTAACCACCCCCAAGAACAGAATAGGGTTGGTAGGGGTGGCAATAATCCTACTGACTTCTCCATGGACTCCCTGGACTAGGCTAGGGGAATACCTTATAAGATTAGTTATCCCAGGGGTAGCTAGGTGGTGCAGTAGATAGAGCACCAATCTTGGAGTCAGGAGGACCTGAGTTCAAATCTAGTGTCAGATACTTGACACTAGCTGTGTAACTCTGGGCAAGTTACTTAACCCTGATTGCCTCACCAAAAAGCAAAAAAAAAAAAGATTTTATATATATATATATATATATATATATATATATATATATATATATATATATATATATATATATATATATATATATATATATATTGTTACCCACATGGTCAAATCTCTGGCATTCCCCGTTCACATTTTAGTGAAAAAGCAGGCAGCTTTTTTAACTGTTCATCAAAGGCTACAGGCAATCATACGTATGACTTTTAAAATACATTTTTAAATAAATGAATGTAAGTCCCATGAGTAGGGATTGTTTCATTCTTTATATTTGTATCCCCAGTGCCTAAAACAATGTCTGGCACATAGTATATATGCACTTTAAAAAGTCGACTTGCTGGTTGACTTAAAAAAAAAAATACCCACGTACCAGTGAACACGAAGTACTGCTTATCAAGTCTTGCCAGGGCCCAGAATAGAGACACAAGCAGACACAGAAGAGACACTGAAGACTGACTTTCCTTCAGATGCAGTACTCACACTATTTTAGGCTACCGTCTAGTGTAGGTATTGGCTTAGAGTGCTTGCTGCTGGCGGGTCAGATGCCGCAGAGATGCTTGAGGATAAAGTCTGTAAAAGGCCGCTAGGTGGCGCCATAGTGCACAGAGTGCCGGGCCAGAAGTCAGGAAGATTCATCTTCCTGAGTTCCACTCTGGCCTCAGACATGCATTAGCTGTGTGACCCTGAGCAAGTCACTTAACCCTGTTTGCCTCAATTTCCTCATCTGTAAAATGATCTGGAGAAGAAAATGGCAAACTACTCTGGTGTCTTTGCCAAGAAAACCCCAAAAGGGGTCACAAAGAGTTGGACGCGACTGAAAAATGGCCGAACAACAGAAAGTATCTAAAGTCTTCTTTCCTGGTTGTTGAGTCCCTGGTTTGACCCCCATTTCATGAGGTAACTAGGCCATACTCACTTCACTCTTAGCTCTGCTCCTCATTCTCCAGACTTCTCTACTCCTTGACAAGCAGCTGTCTCACCCTGAAGATGCCTCTTCCCTGAAGCCCATCTTCCTTTGTTGGTAAGTGCGTGATCCACACCACCGTCTCATAAGGGGTCCACACCTCATACATAGGGAGTGTACTTCATTATGCTCCCTACCTACTATTCTACTTCCCAGGTCTTCCATATGTGCCATCTTTCCCCATTAGTAGGTAAGCTCCTTGGCACAGGGAGTCTTTTTTATATGTATTTATATCCCCAGTGCTTACAAAGTAAACATTTAATAAATGATCTGTCTTTGTGCAGGATGTGATCCACCAGCTTTACAAATTCCTTTTGTTTTTTGTTTTGTTTTGTTTTTTTGCAACACTGAATCTATTTGCAGGTTATGGGCTCCTAGAATATTAGTGATGGTGAAGTCAAATACAGTAAAATATCTAACATTGGTTAAAGGACGTGTCTGAAGGTGTTCCAGGATCCTAGGCTTGCACGGGCAATGTGTCGCTTCTTGAAAATGATGCCTTCCTATCTCAAATGCAGTTTTGTCTTTACATAGCTCCTTTTTCTCATCTCATGCAGATCCTTTCTCCAGTAGTTAACTTGTGAGAGCAGATATGGCAGGACCTGAAGAAGCATAGACTATGAGAGCATCAACTCCACAGAGTGATCCTGTATTCACTGGTCTCTATAATGACATTTTTTTTTCCAGACCCAAATAGGTGAAGAGAGGAGATGAAGTAAGCTAATTCTTGATGCCCTATAATGATAAAATTCAATGACAGCTCCTTCTAGCACTAGTATGTGCTGTGAAACCTTGGAGTGTCTCTATAAGTTGGTAAGAGGCTCTGTCAAAGCAGAAAACCTGGGTATGAAGCAGCAAAAGTGTATTTGCCAGTGGTCTTATCATGTGCCCTAGAAATTCCATCTCCTTCTGGAGCTGGTACTTCTCCAACTCCGCAAGCATCCAGGATTGGCATAAATTCTTGAAGATTGTTTAAATGACCATGCCACACTGAACAGAATCCAGAGAGTGAAAAAGGATATTGTCAAAGTAGATCCCTCCCTATCTCCAAGACCAGTAGATTTCTTTGTGGAAGGGAGTAAAGTATAAGAATTCTAGTGGGAAGCGTCCAGGCTATTAACAGCTTTAAATGTCAAACAGGGCACTTACTGAGCAACAGGGTGACATGGTTAATGCCATACTCTAGAAAAATCTCCTTGGAAGCTGAGTGAATGATGGATTGGAAAGGGGAGAGCCTTAAGGCAGGATAACAGTCAGAAGGCTATTGCAAGAGTTAGGTGGTGATAAGAAACTGAAATGGGCTTATGATTGTGTCAATCAGTCAGTCAGTAGACATATTTTAAGTGTCTGATGTGTGCCAGATACTGTGCTAAGCAGTGGGGATAGAAAAAGAGACAAAAGATAGTCCCTGCCCTCAAGGAGCTTACAATCTAATGGAAATGAGAAATTGGAGTCATTTAGTGTTGGAGGTTTTCTCCAGGATTTTAGCCAAAAAGGGAAGAGAAATAAGATGATAGCTGGTGAAAATGGTAAGATCAAGTGAGGATTTTTGAAGGATGGGGAGAAATAGGCACATATGTAGGCAGCAGGCAAGGAGCCAATATATAGGGAGACATTAAAGATAAGAGAGGATATTTCTAGGGAGTAGGTAGTGAGAAATTAAAGATAAGAGGGTATGATAGTGGGGGCAATCTGCTGGAGAAATCAGAAGGGGAGAGGATCAGGGGAGAGGGCTGGTGTTGACAAAGAGGAGAGACACCTTTTTGTCTAATACTGGAGTGAAGGAGGAGATAATGGAGGAAGAAGTCTCAATGATGTGAGATGAGGAGGAGACAGAGATAGGGGTACCTCTCAGCAAATAGCCTTGATTTTGGGAGGGGGTGAAATAGGAGACAAGGTCATTGACTGAGAGGGTTGAGGGAGGGTTTGCCCTGGAGAGGCTTAGGGAAAGATGAGAATGTTTAGAGTGGCTGTTGTGGAAACTGG